TTTGGAATATTTTCTATTTTTATTGAGTTTTCATTTTTTTTCCAATTTAAGATAAAAATTAACAAATGTCAATTGAAAAAGAAATGGCAATGCTAATGGATGTTCGTAAAGTTGCAGAATAGATGAAATAGATCTATTTGTGGCTATAAATATTTCCTGTACGTGTAAGAAGCTATAGAATGACAAATATGGCAACAGTTTCAATCATTTTGATAATAACTGAAGTTAGGGAGAAATTCATGAGATGCGAGTTCTTTTTGTATTAAAAATGTGTTGCTAAAAAACCCACTGCAATTGTTACATGAAAGCATTTTGGACCCATTACGATTCCACAGAAATGAGGATATTAAAGGAACTAAAAGAGATAATATAGGATTGTTAAGGAGAAGTGTCTTCAGAAATCTTCGATCAGTTAAATTGACATTTTAGAGAGCATTCTGATATTATATTATACGTCAGATATATCTGTTCTGTCGACAGTTCGAAAGTTTGTTCGAAAGCATTTCGGTAAATTATGTCAGGTATGTTGGTACTGTCGTGACCGCAGTTCTGAAAGGAAGTTGTTAGAAGCTTGTGGACTTTGATGAACAGTGAGGATCGGCATACTTTTTTTTTCTGGAAATGTTGAACTATTGTATAAATAACGTTGAATAATAAATAATAGAAACGGCTCCCGTATGTAACAGTCTCGTTCTCTCTCTCTGTTATTGAAATATGCTTTGGCTAATAATTGTCAACAGTTTGCAAACTTAATTGTTTTCTAATGGAATATTTGATCCTACGTATGGATGGTTGACTGGAAAAGGAGGGAAGACGGAAATTCTGATATAAGTGTAACATTTTACGTATTGGAAAGTTGATTTGTTGCCTTATTTGCCTTCATTAAGAAATGGATTGCGGGAATAAAACAGGAGAGAAGTAAGGAATCATGCGTATGGCAAAAGCAAGAATGGCCGTTTTTTATGAAATTCAAATGTACAGGTAATCATCTTTATTTGTGTTGATTTTTTTGTTGTGATTTTGTTGTTGATTTTTTTTCAGGCATAGTCATCAAACTTTGATTATTTTTCTTCAACTTGTATCATAATTATGAGATTTGTATAATGAATTATGATTTAAAACTTAAGAGAGTCTACATCAATCAGGGGAGATAAGTCTTTTTAAGATGGGATTTTATAGGATTATTATCTCCCTTTATAAGACTCCTAAATCAAAATGTTATATTCTTTATTTTAATGTTTTTGTTCAGATAATTAATTGTGTTTGAATATCAGAATAAATCTATTAGAAAAATTACTGATATTTATTGTAGCATTAGTTTGTCAACAATTTGCAAACTTAATTGATTTGTCATGTCAAAAGTTTAGACCATTTCAATAAATTATGTCAGGTATATTTGTACATTTACACATTAATATGATTACAGGTATTTTATGATTGTAAACTGTTGATAATGTAAACAATCAAGACATGTTGGTCAAGTTATAAGCTTTCATCGCTTTCTATCCAATCTTAACATGCTTTTAAATGCAATGTCTAGGAATATGATATGTTTAAACTAATTTAAAACAAGTACAGGGATTGGTTCTATCTTTTTCTGGAATTGGAATTAAAACAAGAAAAAACCAAAGAACAGATGTGAAAACATTTATAGGAAAGTAGAATGACTTGTTCAGTAATATGAATATTTTATAACTTTATTTTGATTCAATTAATGAAAAATTTATTGAAGGGATAGGCCTTTTACAATACATTGAAAATGTTTGATAAGAAGTTTGATATTTATTGATTCATGAAATGTATGTTGTGTTGAAATTATATGTATGGAGTGAATGTTTTTACAAAAAAACACATATATGACATTACAAAGAAAAACTAAAACAGTTGTCTATCAAATTTGTGGAAGTTAAGACATTATGATGATCTGTGATCTGAGTTACATAAGGTATCATGTGTTTGTTACTTTCATTTCATCTTACTGACTGCAGTTTTCTTTTTCAATTGAAAGCCCCCAAAAATTTACAGTGCAAAATTCCAAATCAAAGCACTGGCCAGCTTTAGATGAGTCCATTTTACAATGTCAGAAAGGTAAAAAGTTCTAGGTGTTACAAAAGATAATATCCGGAACTCAGAAAATGTTGGTTTTCCAAGCTAATCTATTGGTACAAACAAATTTAATGTTATAGCTTCACAGTTCACTACCATTCACATTAGATAAGTCAGCCTGTTGCACTTATTTTTGAAGCTGTAACTGTACTCATAAAAGTTGGTTTGTACCCCTGGATTAACTGGGGAAAACCCAAAATATTCTTAATTCCAGAGTAAGTCTATTTTACATACAGTTTGACTGTTGACTGCAAATTAGTTATTGTTTGTCATAAAGATGACTGATGTTTTGTTTTTGTTGATATTCCATCATGTTATATAAAAGCTATCTTTGACAGATATAAAGTTTGTTCCCCCTTCATCATAACATATCATGTGATACATCTATCCGGAAAGTTTTGGTTAATAGACCGTACTGATACATCAACGCTACTCCGTAGGGACGTGACATATATAATTGTTTTGATATTGTTTTTATATGTGCTGAACGTAAAAACCAAATATGGTATGTTTCCACCATTGAAATTATCACAAAAAGCTTAACAATGTATTATTTACCTAGCTTTTTAGATCAACGGGGAAAAAATTATTTTTTTTCTTCTGTTGAGCTCTTTGTCAGATTTTGTTGAAGTAACTGTCAGAAAAAACAGGAAATATATGGCTTGTTTGCATGAAGCCCTCTCGTTCTGTTATAATGTGGTTATAATAAACTGACATACCAACTTCTCTAGCCCCGGTCAGTGAATGACCGACCTTTTGAAAAAGCTGAGTATTTTATCCCTTATATGGCCTGAAATGTTTATACTATCTCTTCTTGCCACGAATTGAGAACTGTCCATTATGTCCATGCCATCTGATCATGGTCTGTGCTGTTGTGCTTTTCAGTAAAGTAATACTTTGAAAATTTCCCCCTCAAAATGAAGAATTGTTTTGTCCAGATTTGATAGATGGACGAGTCCATTTAAGATATTTGGTGTGGTAAGGAATAATTAGTCTTGTTATGGTGTATAAGATTGGTTTGTAACCTAGTCTGAGATGGACTTAAATACGAGGTATTTTATTTAGCTGTGGTCTTTGGTATATTATTATATAGGCATAAAAAGCATGTAAAGAGTTGTTGGGCCAGAAGAAAGATAAGGTTGTAAACAATTTATGAGAGAGGAAAATGGATTATTTTGTTTTTCCATGCTTACATTCTCACGGAATAAATGCAGAAAATTACCCCTAGCATTTGTTGTTGTTTTATTTTGTCTTGGGTGAACAAGTCTGATGTTTTCATTCGATTAAATGGGGGCAAACATTGCAGAAATAACGATTATGTAACAGTTTGAAATAATTTGTAACACATTATATTCTCGAATTTTGACAGAATCTTGATGTATGGAGTTTTAAAAGCATACAGTAGGCATTTATACATTAAAATTTGGTTTTCTTTCCATATATATTGTGAGGGGGTAAATATTGGTTTTGTTGTGCATTTAGGAGTGTCTAGTCATTCTTAAGTGAAAGAAAAATAACAATATGTTCTGAAAAGAATTATTTTATTTCCTCCACTCTAAGACCACCTATTGATAAATCAGACCCTAGCTGTAAGAAAACTTTTATACATGTATTATTGATATAGCAGATTTTAATTGATAAACTTGCACTTGGCCCAACAAAATACCCAATTATTTTAAAGGGATCTCATTGGCTGAATGCTTAATGTAGCTAACTAGGTACCACTGCCACTCAACACTGGGTTTGAAGCCTGGCAAGACTTTTTGCTTTTAAAATGTGTGTATGCTGTTTTGCAAGTTAACAGGAGATTGATGGTTCTACTCAAGTGCAAGCTCCTGTGTGATATAAGGCTCAAACCTTAATTATAGGTGTGCCATCTGAGGTATTCCCCCACCAGTAGAGCTGGAATTTCAACATATTACCTATACATGGTTTGTGTGACAATAAGAAAGAAAAACATAATTCTGAAATGTAGAATTGTCTAGGTATTTCTATATAAATTCCTTATGCTTATACTGTAAGCCTATTTGAAGTCGAATTCTTTCATACCTGTAAGAGAAATTAAGATAGTTGTTAAAGTGTGTGGATATTTCACTCTGGTCAATAATTATCCATAATGCACCTTGTTTCTTCCTATACCAGCATACATGTAGTTAGTTACATTGTCTTTGTAGTAAATGATACATTTTGATATAAGGATCAATATCTTACTAATTGTATAGAGAACTTTTACCTGTAGAATGTAAGTAATCTTCCCAAGTGACATTGTCTGATTGCTGAACAATAATTTTCTGTTGGTGTCTTTTTATTGACCTTTTCCCTCCTAGAACTGATGGTAATGATTGTAATCAAGAACTTTGCCAATGTGGGTTTTTCCAAGCTAATCAAACCCCCCACAAACCCCATAACTTCAAATTTTCATGTTGAGATAACCCAAGTTGATAATGGTCTGTCCCAAAAATGAAAGCTGGACAAGTCCATTTAAGCAGATTAAGGGGATGCTGTCTGATCTCATGTTAAATGCAACCCCTTGTTAACTTTGTGAACTTATTAGGCTAGTGTGATAGTGTAATGATATATAAGTAAAACTTAAAACTTTTTTTTTTGCCTGCTTGTGCTGAAATAATTTTTAAATGCAGCCATCACAACAAGAAAATCCCCTTAATGACTCAACTCTTTCCCCATAACCCTTAAGTGTTTGTATGGGATGCCAATCAAATGAAATATGGTTAATATATAAGATACAGCAATGTTATCTCATTGTTATATATTTATTTTTGTATGTTTTGATTTTTACAGGTCAAACACCGCCAAGCGAATTCCAGTAAATATGGATTATAAAATGAACAATTATATCGTATAAATTATTTAGTATGAAATTTATATATTTTCAGAATGAATGATGTTATAGTGAAGGTAAATGATGATAATGTTGTCAATGTAACACATGCTGATGCTGTTGATGCACTAAAGAGAGCCGGGACCAGAGTTGTATTGGTACGTGTAAAAAGCTTGATCATTTTCTTTTTCGTAATTTTGTTTTTCTCATATTTAAGAGACGTTATATTTTGTTACGAGCTTCTGTTGCCAAGTAATGATTGTTGAAGACTTTAAATCAGTTGCCTATCCTGGATGTGGGTGCAAATTCTTACATGGCTGGCATTTCAGAAAAATATCGCTACAATGTATTATCAGTCTTGGTTGGTGTATAGGTTGGTGATTCTAACTCGGGGTGTCGTCTTGTGCCTTAAATTGTACAAAGGTGCAACAAGGTCTTTCAGGGATAATTATCCTGAACCGTGCCATAATTTGACCTTGACAGTTGTGGTGCTACTTTAAACACAACCAAGCAATATGTTCTGGCTTTGGTTTGAAGATAGTATGCCAATTACCTTGAATATGACCAAAGGTAACTTGGTGCAAACCAATTGTGATATGGATAATTAAAAGTATCTTGACAAGTTTCTATGAAACACTTGAATATTTTGGAATGAATTTTTCAAGACCTGATACCTTTTTCTAGCTAAAATTCTATAACAGACAAGCCATGCTTGAGTTTTGATCTTGTGTGCCTGAAATTTAAAGGCATTGAAATGATTACCCAGCTGAGCTTACAGTGTAGTGTCTGGCAACACTGTAAAGAACAATGAGGCACAAACATGTTTGTTATGGTTTAGATTGTATGCATTGGCAAATAATTTGGCTGCTGAACTGGCAAATAGAGAGTTAAAAGGGTTGTTAAACTCAAATCAAAATATTTTCATATAATATAGTACAGATTTTTTTCTCTTCAGCGTGTGATAAAAACACCTGCGGAATTTCTCACAGATGATTGTTGTGGAAATATAACTGTATTCTTAGAGGTTCAGTTGAAAGCGAATTTTCATATATTATTTGTTAAATTAATAACGGTAAAGTGAAGTTTCTAGCTGGGTATGGTTTTTGTTATTTGAATATAATGTATTTTTCAGTATGTGAAACGGTTAAAAGCTCCAGTTGAAAACATACTTACCATAGACTTGTCTAAGGGAAATAAAGGTAGGTGATATATATCAGAAAGACTGACGTTTTGTTATGCTCCTTATCATTTTTAGCTGTACTATTCTAGGAATAGCCTCATTTATGGCTGTCCGTGTCACCGTCACACTTTGGTTAAGTTTTTGTAAGCAAGTTTATATATCCAAAACTATGGTGAATTTTTACTGTGCAAGTTGGTATCTCCAAAACTACTGGCAGGAATGGGTGGAAACTTCACACACTTGTTCTCTGTGATTATCTAACATAATGGGCACAGGCCCCATAACTCTGATTTATCTTTTACAGAGTTATAGAGCTTGGAGTGGTTAGACTGCACAGAATGATGTTTTAACCAGTTTCTATAAAATGAGTACAAGGGTTGCTAAGGACACTAGAGAAATTATCTTTAACTACAGACATGTCTATTTTGAAAATTATTCTGGGAAAATGAATGTGACCTTTATTGCTGGAATAAGATAACATCTAAAATAACAATCTGCTGATTGTAAAGTTTTGCTGTCTGGTTTGGAATATATAAAGTGAAATTTTAAAATATATGAAGTTGGAAAAATGTTGTTTAATTTGAATTTTCCTGTGTCTTATGTCTCTACAATGTGGGGACGCATTGTTCTTTTCCTTTATGTTGATATGTCAAGGGCTGATTGTTGACATTTTTAGCTCGACTATTCGCAGAATAATCGAGCTAATGCAGTCACCCATTTGTCGGCGTCGGCGTCCCTGTGGTTAAGTTTTTCCGTGCAAGCTGGTATCTCCATAACTACTGAAGGGAATGGATTGAAACTTCACACACTTGTTCTCTGTGATTATTTAACATGATTGGCACAAGTCCCATAACTCTGATTTGCTTTTTTGCATAATTATGCCCCTTTTTCGACTTAGAAATTCTTGGTTAAGTTTTTGCGTGCAAGCTGGTATCTCCCTACCTACTGAAGGGGATGGATTGAAACTTCACACACTTGTTCTCTGAGATTATCTAACATGATTGGCTTAAGTCCCATAACTCTGATGTGCTTTTTTGCATAATTATGCCCCTTTTTCTACTTAGAAATTCCTGGTTAAGCAAATATCTCCATAACTACTGAAGGGTTTGTGCCTTTTTTTGAACAATTTTATGCATTTTATAATAATAAAGCAGTGATTAACTCGATAAAACATCTTAATAACAAGCCTTTGTACCTTTTTGGACAATTTTATGTATTCATATAGGTAAGCATTATTATACTCAATGAAACACACTTGTGACAACTTTTCAAATAGTCTAGCGTTACTGTCCTGCGACAGTTCTTGTTAACCTGTCTCATTACATCTTCCCCCAACAAGCTAAAGCATTAAGTCGTACCACTTTACCTGCTGAATTTGTGAAATTTGTAGATTTTTTAAAATATAAAAAATGCTAAAATTGAGTTACCAACAGTATATAGCCTGGTGACACTGTATGGATGTTCAGACTCACCTAGGTATATACTGGTGGCAAAGGCTTGTCTCTTCAGTTACCGCATGGTAAAGGTTAGTCATAGCACTTCTCTGAACAAGAGAAAAACGTCTTTGAAAAGTCTGGGAAAGTCCAAAAATTTTCAACATGTCAAAGAATAGGAACCCTGAAAAGTCTTCCTTTCAAGCAGTAATTTGAGGCCTAAATGACCTTTAGGTCAAGTCAAAGGTTTTTGCATGCATTTTATTGCTGTATTTTCTAAGTTGTATGTGTAGCCCTAGGGTTTTGTGGTTTTGAAATGATACAACAGTTAATTGCATTATCTTGAAAACTGGCATTTCATATTGTCTGTAAAATAATTTTTTTTTGCCTGTAAATTTCAAGTAATTGCTAGCATTAATGGCCTGAAAGATATCATGAAAATGCTTGAGCTAATTTTGTAAAACAATATGGTATAATGTTTTCCTGAATACCAAGTATTATTGTTGATCTTTATCCCCCGCGGGAATAGGTTAACATTTGTGATGACAACTAAATGTCCATTATATTAGAGCAATCGGATTCCTAAGGTAACATTTTATCTGTCGTCTGCTAAATTATGCATGCGTGTAAACATTCTAAATGCATTAAGGTCTCCTGCACATATGAAACAGTATCGTTCACACGCTAGGACGATTACGTTCACACACCATTCCAGGGATGTAATGCTGATGTTCACACGTCCGATTTACACGAAATTCATGAATATTTTATACATACAGACGTTAAACTGTACCCGCAATTGTGCAAAATTTCAAAAATGATACAAATATTTGCACAATTGTTTTTTGCGATCAAAGCGAGCAGCGTCAAATTTGCTTTTATCCGCCGTCATCCAAACTGTAGATTACTACCTGATTGATTTATGGCGAGAAAATTATTTTATTGTGATTGTCTAGCTTCTATTATTTTATTCAAACAATGAATGATTCATATCATAGAATGAGTTTTCGATAGCAATTACTTTATGGGAAATGTTATGTGGTTCTATTATAGATGAATAGATAACATAAGCTATTTTTTTATCACATATATTAAATTAGTTTATATATTTCTATGCACAAACTTTTAAATTTTTAAAAGGGAATTTTAATTTTTATTTCTGATTGTGCAATATTCCTTAAGAAAAAAAAAGTTGCGATGAATTAAAGGAAAATTTTTTAACTGAGTTGCATTAACTCAAAGCCTAATGGCAGCAACAGATTTTAAGTTACTCTGCAACCGATGCAGACCAAGATCAGCTGGGTTTCTCCAAATCCCAACCCCAATCTGGCCCCCCCGTTTTACTGTCAGTCAGAATATATTTTAAAAATTGGGCCCCTGAAAGGGGATTTAATGGTTTTTTCCCCCAAAAATTTAAAACTGGACAAAATCCATTTAAATATTTTTTGCCTAAATTTAAAAACAGCCCTCCCGTTTTCTTAAAAATTTTATGTTATATTTAGATAGCTGTTTCTAATTTTGTCAGGTAAAAAAATAAATTTTGCAGATAAAATTTCATTAAAAAGGGAAAAACCCCCTTATACCCCCAAATCTATTGCTCTGTATATGTAAAGGGGATACATGTAGTTGACATTCCTCAAATCTATTTTTAGAAACGAATGTCATGGACGTTATTATAAATAGCTCTTGAGACAATGTTTTAAAAAAGATTTAACAGTGATATGATGCACACTTTTCCAAGATAAAATTACTGAAATACTTAGTTTAAAATAACACATAATTGTTTTTCAAACAGAAAATAAAAGCTGATGACAGCTTTTCTCATTGGGTCACGTCATAATCATTTTAAAGGGCAATAATTATTAATATGAGAGCCTTAATGTGCTTTTCAGGCATTAACTATAACTACTGAAATTTAATTAAAGATGAATAATTTCAAAGGAATTTCTCGTAGAAAATTTCATTAATTTTCATTGGATCTTCTTAATGGATCTCTATAATGGATATATATTACAGGTAATGAAATGTTGAAGATGAAACTATGTTCTATATTGACATTCTCTCTGATGCAATAAGAGACCACCTTTCAATATTACAAGCAATTATTATACGTATACACTTTGTTCAAGCACAGATAAGTAGTTTTTTTACTAAGGTAAAAATTTCATGTCTGTTTATTAAACGAGTCTTTGATGATTTTCTTAATTTCTCTTCACATCAAATTAATTTTGGAATTCGTTCGCTATAATAAATAAAAGATGTAATATATATTGTGGATGATCTAGCTGTTCTTGAACTATTCTAGTTCTTTACAAAAGGATATAGTAATAAAAAGAACTATATTATTTGTTGCCCTTGCACTTTTGTAGGCCTCTAACATGAAGTTTGAAAATCTAAACAAATTTCAAGTGAAGCACTTAAAATTGATAAAAACCTGCAAAGGTATCAAAGAAATGTACTCAGAATGAAATCGAAAATCGAATTTTATATGCGATTACTTGCCGAATTAGTATTTTTAGGTAAAAAAGATTATTCTCGAAAAACAGGATGAGAGAATGAGCTAGAAATTCGCACATAAGTAATTGGAGAGAAAAAAAAACCCAATAAGTTGGTATTGGTACACAAACTTTAAAAAAATATTTCCAGGCCCGTCATGTCTAAAAACCTCAGTGGAGTCCCTTTAATATAGCATTATTATGATTAAATATGGCTTTTTTTTTTTTTACAGACCAGTGTAAATACATGTTTTTTTAGAATAATTGAATTGAATTCCATTATCTGGTTATTACCCAGGTTTTCAACGAAAACTGGGTTATTGTAATGCCAAAGTTGGCAGGCGGGCGGGCGTCAACTTTTGGTTTCCGCTCAATAACTTTAGTTTGCTTTGGCCTATTGACACCAAACTTGGTGTGTAGGTAGCTTATATCAAGAGGCAGCTTGGGATTGCTACCCAGGTGTATGTGATCAAGGTCAAGGTCACTGTTACTGAAAATAGAAATTCAGTTTCCGCTTAATACTTGAGTTTGCTTTGAACCTATTGACACTAGACTTGGTGTATGGATAGCTTATATCAAGAGGCAGCTTGGGATTGCTACCCAGGTGTCTTGTGATCAAGGTCAAGGTCACTGTTACTAAAAATAGAAATTCAGTTTCTGCTCAATAACTGTGTTTGCTTTGGCCTGTTGACCCAAACTTGGTGTATAGATAGCTTATATCAAGAGGCAGCTTGGAATTGCTACCCAGGTGTCTGTGATTAAGGTCAAGGTCACTGTTACCTAAAAAAGAAATTCAGTTTTCCGCTCAATAACTTGAGTTTGCTTTGGCCCTATTGACACCTAACTTGGTGTATGGATAGCTTATATCAAGAGGCAGCTTGGGATTGCTATCCAGGTGTCTGTGATCAAGGTCAAGGTCACTGTTACTAAAAATAGAAATTCAGTTTCTGCTCAATAACTTGAGTTTGCTTTGGCCTATTGACACCAAACTTGATGAATGGGTAGCTTATATAAAGAGGCAGCTTGAAATTGCCACCCAGCTGTCTGTGATCAAGGTTAATGTTTTTAGTTTTCATGTTATAACTTGAGTT